AATTTAGGAACTCATTATTTTATGTTGTTCACAATCATAATTTATTTACCTAAGGAAAGCAGAAGGGAGAGAGAGGTAAAGGAAAGAAAATTAACAATCACACTATCACAGTACAACATTCAAGTTTCAAAGTTTGCGTAAACCTTTACAATTTTCACAGATTTAGCACAATTGTAAATTAAAGCTCAACAATTTGCAAAGTTTTTTTAGCACTCCATGAAAAGTGAAAACATAGTGCTTTATACATGTACATGTAGATCCATAGTATCTGCTTATTCTTATACATTAGTAGAAACACCATGTCCATCTTACTATAAAATGAATAGATCTACCTTTGCCTGAGAATAAAAATTTCTATTGGCCCAGGACTGTCTCTTTATGGCTGAGTCCTAGTGAACTAAATGAGTTCCTCAATTTACTTTGCTGTCATGCTCGGACTGCTATTAGCAAATAGATATAAATACTATCATCATTATCTTACTCTTTTTATGAGGAAAATAAGGAACTAAGGGAAGTGTTTGAACATTGACCAGCCACCTTGTGGATCCACATGTTTGTAGTATCATAGATATGTAATATTTACAAACATATCTTACAAGTGTGAGAAAGCGATAGAAACTAATATCACAAAAACACAGTCAATGCAACTGGAATTAAAACAGAAAAAACAGGTACATGTATATACATATAGAAAACTTAATGTATGAATGAATGATGCCTGTTTGTTATGAAATTATTGTAGATGATAATTTGTTGTGGTTGCTATACCATTGTTTATTGTTGTTTTTATGACTAGTATTATGAATCTCAGACAAAGCAGAGATTGTTCTATTCTGAGAGGATGAGAGCACACAAAAAGAAAGTACTTGAGTTTTGAATAAACTGGCAGTGACACAAGAACTAATGGAAGCAAAAACTACCTGGGAAGAAGCAAAGGACAAGTGTATGAGGAGAGAGATTTTTAAAAGCAATGCTTTGTTATTATGGTGATATGTTTCTCCAAATTTTTAGTTGGCGATTCCAAACTGATAGCTAATGACATTGATTATGTGGACCAGAGATTAAATGAAATCAATCATAAAATAACCGAAAAAGTTGACCAAAAGAAGCAAACAGAGAAAGGCATTCAAACAATGAGAAATGAGGTATGTTATGTTTTTGGAAATTAGCATAATTTAAGACTCAGAATTGTATCACATTGTTCATACTTCATATATCAATAGATCCAAGGTCTGACAGAAAGCAATAATAAGCTGGTGAATCAACTTGAAGTATTGCGCAAGAGGCGACAGGCTCGTCTAGTGAGAAGGAGACACCAGTCCATGAGGGAAGACAAAGGAACAGACAA